CAGCGGGTGATAGAAGACGTTCTGGGATCAGTGGAACCAATCTACTGAAGGTTGAACTGCAGCTGCCGCTGAGAGCAGACGCGACCGGCCCCACTTCAACCGCGCGCTAAAAGAGCTTGGACGAGCGATCGCCTTGTCGCGTCCTGTTGCACCAAAGCCTCTCACCGTACGCGTTGTTCTAGGCACGAGCTGCTCTACAGTCTTCCTTTTTGCTCCTGTCTGACGCTTCCTCGCTCCCTCTCGCCGGAACAAACAGCCTGGAATCAAGCATGGCCGCGATTGCACCGCCTACCAACGGCGACGCCGCTCCGGCTCCCGCCCAGCTCGCCGACTCGATCGTGCAGGCGTTCGACTCGATCCTGATCCTCGACTTTGGTGAGTCCTCGCACCGGCGCGAGCTGCAAGGGAGGGCGTTGGCGCCCTTTGACTCGAGCCGAGTGATCGAGGCGTGTGTTTGCAAGACTACCGAGACGCTGACCTTGCTGCGGCTCGACAGGCTCGCAATACTCGCACTTGATCGTCAGGCGATGCCGCGAGTTCAACGTCTACTGCGAGATGCTGCCGTGCACCCAGAAGCTCGCCGACCTCAAGTGGAAGCCCAAGGGTGAGGCGCTGCCGACAGCTCTCGCCTAATACAGCACTGCTGACAGTGAGGACCACGCAGGTATCATTCTGTCGGGCTCGCCGTTCTCGGTTTACGAGAAGGATGCGCCGCGGGTTGACCCGGCCGTTTACGACGCCGGCGTTCCCGTTCTCGGAATCTGCTACGGTCTCCAGGTGCGTGCTGCCTTGCGGCTCGGGAGTGTAGAGGGAGCTCACCTTGAGTGTCTGTGTAGGAAACCGCCAACCACTTTGGCGCGCGCGTCGAGGCTTCGGACCACCGGGAATACGGCGAGGCCATCATCAAGGTCCTCCGTCAGCCCGCCGGTGCTCCGGCTCACCTCAACAAGCTCTTTGAAGGCATCCCGGACGAGTCTCCGGTCTGGATGTCGCACTCGGACCGATTGCACTCGCTCCCAGACAACTTTACCACCATCGCGACGACGGAATCCGCCCCGTTCGCCGCCATTGCCCACAACGACAAGCCCATCTACGGCATCCAGTTCCACCCCGAAGTCACCCACTCGCTCCGCGGCAAGGACGTCCTCCGCCGCTTTGTCATCAACATCTGCGGTTGCGAGCAGGGGTGGACCATGGTGAGAGCGGCGTCTTTGTCTCTTGCGTGTTTTGGCTAAGCACGCCTTGGCACGCAGGAATCCTTCATCGACAAGGAGATTGAGCGTATCCGCACGCTTGTCGGCCCCAAGGGTCAGGTCATTGGTGCCGTCAGTGGCGGTGTCGACTCGTCCGTCGCTGCCAAGCTGATGCACGAGGCTATCGGCGACCGGTGCGTCCGCAGACGTTCTCCGGTGTCTTGGAGACACGCGACTGACTCACCGCACGCGCAGCTTCCACGCCATCATGGTCGACAACGGCGTCCTCCGCATGAACGAAGCCGAGCAGGTCCACAAGATGCTCTGCGAGGACCTCGGCGTCAACCTGACCGTTGTCGACTCTTCCGATCTCTTCCTCGACAAGCTCGCTGGCGTCACCGACCCCGAGCAGAAGCGCAAGATCATCGGCAACACCTTTATCGAGGTGTTTGAGGAGAAGGCGGCCGAGATTGAGCGCGAGGTCAAGGCTGCCGGTGGCGAGGGCGGCGAGATCGAGTGGCTCTTGCAGGGCACCTTGTACCCGGACGTCATCGAGTCGATCAGCTTCAAGGGACCTTCGGCGACCATCAAGACCCACCACAACGTCGGTGGTCTCCTCGACGACATGAAGCTCAAGCTCATCGAGCCCCTCCGCGAGCTCTTCAAGGGTGCGCTTTGATCTTTCTTTTGCTCTTCGGGAATCTGACCAGGTCCCTCTGCTCCGCAGACGAGGTTCGCGCTCTCGGCCGCCTCCTCAAGATTCCCGAGCACTTGGTCGGTCGCCACCCGTTCCCGGGTCCCGGCCTCGCGATCCGCATCCTCGGCGAGGTGACGCGCGAGCAGGTCAAGATTGCCCAGCACGCCGACGCCATCTTTATCGAAGAGATCCGGAAAGCGGGGCTCTACGACCAGATCAGTCAGGCGTTCTGCGCGCTGCTGCCCGTCCGCGCCGTCGGCGTGCAGGGAGACCGGAGGACGTACGAGCAGGTCATTTGCCTGCGCGCGGTCAAGACCGAGGACTTTATGACTGCCGACTGGTTCGATTTCCCGCCCGCCGTCCTGCGCAAGATGTCCAACCGGATCACCAACGAGGTCCAGGGAGTGGTGCGTTGCGGGACTCTTCTTTGCCCAGAGTTCTTTCCGTGCTGACTGTTGACTTCGTTCACTTGTTTCCTTACGCCATCAATGCCTCTTTCCGTAACGTCGTTTCGCTCGCAGAACCGAGTTGTCATGGACGTTACTTCCAAGGTGAGCAATTTCCGCGTTCTCTCTCTCGCGCGGACCAATCGCTTACGCTCCTTTCGCACAGCCGCCAGGAACTGTTGAGTGGCTTTGAGCGCCCTCGTGGCTCTCGGCGCCAGACTTGTACTTTAGGGCGACATAGACTCGGGGGAGAGAGCGCGCATGCTCTCGTGTATTCTTATGCAGGTTTCCTCATCTTTAGTCGGGGAGAGGTTTGAGTGTGGTCTTCTAGTGGGGGCCTTTATGCTGTCTCGCCGCTTTGCAGATTCGGATCAGGGCGGCTTTGAGGAGCTTGTTTCATGTTCGACCTTCTCGCGAAACAAACTCCTCCTCGTGGTCTCGCTCCCGGTTACTCAAACGGGCGGGTGATCATGTTTTGATGCGATGGCTCGAGAATCAGTACAACTTGCTCCCGGGCCGTGTACGCGCACTGCCTGTCTGAAATTGCGCTGAGTGCTGGCGACGCCGGGTGGCGCAGCAGTGCGGTCGGAGAGCGGCCATAACTTCACATTCGACATACAAGAAAGGTCTGTGCAGTCTCGGAGAAAATCCAGTCCGGGGCTCGTTCCGCAAGGCACCCTCTTCCGTCTCTCGCTCGCCGATTGCACCGTCTGACTCGCTTGCGCGCGCGAACTCGACGAATCACTTTCGCAGCCGCCGCCTTCCCCCCCTAGTCAAAGTCTCGACAGCCGCTCAAATCAACGCCTGCGCGGAGAGACTTTAAGACGCCCAGTCGAAAAGACGAACCGACGGGATCGCACGCAGACGCAATAATCGGCGGACCGAAAAGCTTTGCAAGCGCTCGCATCGGGCGCATGGAGTCCACTGAGGCGGAGTCCATTGAGGCAGCGAGAATGCCGTCGATTCGTCGAAAGCTGTATCGAAACCTGAAAGGCGACGACTGAGCGATGGACGGGCGAATACTCGGTTCGGTGGGTGGCAAAGCGAGGGCAGAATCGGTCAGCTCTATACCTTGGGGCCTACACGAAACGCTTCGAGCAGGGAGGTATTCCTTTTCGGTGTGCGTTTCGCCTCCAAGCGAGTCGGTGCGCCTGTTCGGGCTCGCGCGCTCGAGCTTGAGGGAAGTGGCGCTGATGAGGTCCCGGAGTCGGCAGCGTTCGGAAGGGTCGAATTTCAGAGTCGAAGCGGGAGCCCTCAAACGTACACCAAGTGCAAGCAGAGGCCTTCCAGAATGGTGCCAACACCGTCGTTACGCCTCGAGGTTGTCCCCACTTTGCCGCTCTGCCGCCCGATGGCGGGTTAACTTGTTCACACTCGGAGCAAGTTCCCTCGCGGTGCGAGAGATTCACCTTCCCGCCACGCCACCTTGTAAAGCTTACGAGTCACGGGAAATTGGGGAAGGTGCGGTCGGAAAGTAGACGCTTCTGCTCACAAGGTCTTCGAGCTCGCTCGCAGACCTCGCGGCTGAGATATTCCAGCGAGCTCACTGTTCGTTTGTCAGCTTTCCCCGCCTATCCGCCCTGATTTCCCCTGCCTCTCGAGGTTCCGGAACAAGAGACGGCCTCTCGTTGCTCTTCTGGCTTTCCGGCGAGAGTGTGGCGGCGAGCTACTCGGAGAGGTGAGAGCGTGCTCCTTACGATCCCGGACCTTCTCTGACATACAGGCTGCCCGTTGTTTTTTGTTTCTCTTCTCGGTCTCAGATCCCGCTGGGGGAAGGGGGGGGGGAAAGGGAACCTGGTGATTTGAGAGACTGTCGACTTTACGGTCGCGCGAGTACGGGTCTTGGAACAATGTGCGGCCAGCTTTAGTGCGGGATTCAACTTGGCAATTGTAACAGTGATCAACAAGTGGCTGTTATGCTGTGCTAGAAGCGACGAGGCTGTGAGACACCCTGAGCTACAAAAAGGCGAAATCGGACCGGGTCCGACACATTCTTGCTCTGGATCAAACCGCGATGGACCGGCGTGTTGGAGTTGATACCATGCAGTCTGCGAATCAATAATGTGTTGACAATCTGTTCGCATGTGCGGAGACGATTCGGAAGAGGAGAGGCGTACGGCGTTGAATGCGCGTTTTGCCCGGCACACGGCCTTCCTCGCGGCGTCGTTTCTTTTTGTTCTTTCTCAAATCAAGCTCTGCCGGTCTGGGAACTGACCCAATGATGCTGAGAACCTCTAGTTAGCTAAGGACGTCCTCGTCCGAAGAGAAAAAACCCAACTCTGTCAGTAGAGTTACTGCCACCTGGCCGGAGCAAAGATGCGCTCGCAAATTGCGGTCCGGGTGGCTGCCGCATGTGCCTCGAGCTGGTCTGCGTCTCCCATGTATCTGCCTGCACCTGCGACGCCTGAAGACGCCTGTACGGTATGCGGGAGATGCCGCGAGTCAGACTGAGAAGGCCTTCTTCCGAAGAGCGAAAGTCGCCAGAACGCCGCCGCAAGGGGCCAGCTCGGGGCAGGTAGTGGCGCATATGCTTAGGCTCTATGCATAGTCTCGGGCGATGAACGGGCGGGTGCTCCGGGGGTTGGGGGAGGGTTTGCCAATCAAAACAGCAAAAAAGTCAGTTTTCGGGGCGTGTTTGCTCTGCGACGCGCCCAAAAGTATAGTCGACCACTGACGGGTTCGAACCGTCGACCACCGCCTTCCACAGTGGTAGGAGGGCGGCATTCTGCCACTAAACTAAGCGGCCGAAACTGTTGCAAGAATGCACAAGTTTGCAGTACTCATGCGAGGTCGTCCTCCCATCTTTGCCTGAGCTGTAGTGGTCGGTTTGCAATACCCAGTTTCAGACTCCACTCTAGGCCTTTGCGGCATTCTGCCACTAAACTAAGCGGCCCCCAGCTGTACAAGAAAGCAGAAGGTTGCGGTACTGATCCTTGCCACTTGCCGCTCCGGCATGTGCCGGACCGAAAAGCAAGCTGGTGCACAGAAGTCCTTGCTGTGAGAATAAATGCGAGCAAAGGTGCAATGAGAGGTAAAGAGGAAGAAGAGTGCGAGGGAGCAACATCAACTCGACCACTGAGAGGATCCACCAACCTCTGCCTGATGGGCTCCGGCTCTGGAGGCGGCGCCGCCGTCTACTCCAAGTCTGGACAGTCAGAGTGTGTATGTCTGCAATCAAGACGAGTGTCAGTTCTGTGCAAACACAAAGGAGCAAGAGGGAGACTTGGAATCAAAAGTCGAGTTTGAGCGAGGCGGAGCTGTCGAAGAGCAAAGAGCAGCCGGGGCAGCATTTCGAGCTGCGAATGCAAAAGTGCGCTTGCCCGACTGGGCGACGACAATTCTCCTGCACGGTGGAAGACTGCTCCGCCGAGGAGTCTCCCTCCGTGACTACAGCATCCGCAATGGTTCGACCCTCGACGTGACCCTGACGGGCGAGCGCCTGCTCGGCGGTGCGGATGGTCCGCAGAAGCGCAAGGCCGATGCGAATGAGAGCCTGCGGAAACCGTTCAAGGCCCCTCGCCTCAATAGCACGTCGTCGTCGTCGTCGGAGCCTTCTCGCAATCGTCCTCTTGCGCAGAGTCAACGGTCCAACTTTGGAGCTTCCCTCGGTCAATCTGCCTCCTCGTCCACTCGATCGCCGCCGCCGGAGAACTCGCCGGCGAGTACGCCTACAACGTCCTCTTTCCGTAAGTTTCTCAATTTGTACCATTTGCGCTGTCTTGTACTAACTGCTGCTTGATTGCGCATGCGTGCTCCGCAGGCTCCTCCGCTCTGCGGCGACCGAGTGAGATTGCGCCGCCGGCACGCGAAGTTGGGAACTGCCGCTACTCGCTCACGACAATTTGGTCGGCAACGATGGACAAGGCCAACTTGAAGATCGGCGGCGATATGGCGTCCGAAATCCCTGCTTTCGCCGCTCGACTCGGGCAGCGCGCTCCGACTCTGCTCGGAGCAGATTTCGCTCCGCAGCCGTCAAAGCTGTCGTAGCCGTTCAGTTTTGTGCCAAAGCGCGCGTCTTTGCCGTCGCGCTCGGCTGAAGCTGGTCCGTCTCGTTCTCGAGAGGACCTCACGCCTGACGAAGCGGACCCGCCGGAGACCGCCACCCAAGATGCACCCTCGCCGTCGAGCAGAGACCCGCACTCGTTCACGCCCGAGATCACTGTCAAGATATCACTCGCCGAGGACGAGCCCGGTACAACGCTCTTGAGCTCAGAGCTCAATTCCATCGCCCGCGACGTCCTCCTCGACCCTTCAGACCTGAACAACGCTCTGAACGAAGAGGATTACCGCAGTGGCGAGGACGATGCAGGCGGCAGCGACGACAACAAGGCTGCACGATTGGCATATGAGGAGAAGCGAGTGCGATGCCTCACAAAACATGGCGAGTGGCTCCAGACGGAGCAGCAGCGCGCGCGTGCCCGTCTGCAGGCGCGTAAAGAGTTTGACGGGACGCTTGTCGCCGTCGCCAAGCCGCTCGAGCGTGTCCTGCGCCGAGCAAACCACCGTCTCGCGGAACACAAGTTCCCTCCGCCGCCCCTCACGTCCCAGAACGTCGGCAGTCTTGTCGAGGCACCAAACACGCTCGATCTCCTCAACAAGCTCCAGCTACTTTCGCCGCTGCCGGCCGACCACCCCGCACTTGAGCTCGTCGAGGGGAACGACCCGATGGAGGAGATTGGTGAGGCCGCGGCGGGACAACCCTCGTTCGCTCGGTACTACCTGCGCAAGATTGAGTGGCCCACCGGTGCTGCCTTCTTCGGTTTCCTCGACGACTGCGACCGCTTCTTCCCCGCCGAATCCCCACGCTGGACCGTCCTCCGCGACGAACTCGAAGCGCAGCTCGGCGCCAATCGCGACAAGGAGTCGCCGATTGCGGTTCCGTACGGAGGGATGACGATCGCGTTGACCCCGATTGGCCGCGCCGAGCAAGACTCGAATGGCATCCTCCAGTCGTGCATGGGTCAACTCCTGGCCTTGTTGCAGCACGATCCGCCAATCAGCGAGTTTGCCAATGACGTTGTCCATTGCGTCTATGAGCTCGTCGAGTTGCGCCAACCCGCCTCGTCGACGCTCGACGCGAACCTGCCGCGGATCGGAAACGTCGAGATTGCCTTGATCGCCAACTTGCACGTCTCGCTCAACTCGGCAGATGGTGGACGCCTCCTCACGCCCGACGTCTCTGCTCTCGAGCCCTTCTTGACCTGCGCCAATGCAAGGCGTACCGTCCGCGAGGAAGCAGGATGCCTCGAGACGGACGACTCGCGCGAAGGTAGACTTGTAGCTCGTATCTCCAGTCACAAGAGACAGTGAATCAAGCTTTGTATTCCAATCAGAGAGTGGAAGTGACCTGGAGAAGAGAAGAAGGAAAAGAAGAATTCGAGCGAACATCTACAAGTCCAGACGCCGGAGTTGAGTGAAGGGGCTCGAGCGGCGTAGGCGGTGCAGACTCATCCTCCAAAACCGAAAACCGATTTGTCAATATGACGGAGGCAAGTCCGATCCACCCTGCTTGTGTGAAGGGCAAAGAAGGCGAAGCCGAAGTTGGAGTCGGAGTGAAAGGCGAACGGCTAACAGCCAACGCGCAGTGGAGCGCGCTCGAGGAGCTGGCACCGACGGCACCGGTGTTGCCGGAAGAAGACGAGCAAGTTGCGGCGCATCTCAAAGATGAGCTGCGCTTCCTACAGAAGCAGCGCGCTTCCGAAGTCGGTCTTGTCCCGGACTCCGACTTGTCGTCCGCTTTTGAGAACATCGTCAGCGACGCCTCCGGAGGAACGACTCGCTTGCACGGACAATACATCGAGGTCCTCGTGTCGAAGAGTCCTTCGCGGGTGACCAACCGGCGCGCGGGCCAGCTCTCCGAGTCAGCGCCGAGACGAGCCTCCTCAGCCTGACGGGACCGTACGCAGCGATATTTTCGCTCATCGACTTTTGGGGGCTGTGCTCCCGCCACTTTCTCGTCATCTTCATAATCTTCTTCCTGTACCGTTACCTCTCGATCAAGCGACCCACCCTGATCATCACACGCTCTTCAAAGGTGTCGTATCTGTTTCGATCCGGCATGGTCCGGTCCGCGATCCAACCCGCAACTACGTCCAACTTCACGTGCTGGCTTGGCTCCAGGTCCAGTCCTCCCGCCGCCTATTCGACTCGTTCCTTGCCGTCACCGCCATCAAGGAGATCGTCTGGCGAGAGACCGAGACTCCAAGATGGACTGAGACGGGCATTGCGACCGTCGCGTTGGTTCAGTACGGGCCTGGCGCCGACGACTCCGCGCTGCAAGTGGCCACCATGGACGAAGGTCGCGTAAAGTACAACCCGCAGGCGCAGGACGCCGCTGTCGCCTTGGCGGCCGGTGCAATTTGCGTCGCCGCGATTGCTCGACGCGTCCTGCTTGACGCGATGCACAAGGCGGCGATCCCAACCTCTGACCGGCAACAACGACTCGAGTGGCTCCGCAACGCCAAGCGCGCAACCGACGAGCTTGTCATCTCGACCGGACTCGGCGCGTACCTCGAGCAGGCTCGTGCAGATTACCTCGACATTGCGCAGCGACTGGCCTCGTTGCGAGGTCTCGGCTACTACGCTTGGCATGAAGCAATTGTTGTCGCCCATGGCGGATCCGTCGCCGACGCCGCCGCTCACCGGAGCTGCTTGGCGAAGGACCACATCGCGAAGCAAGAGCCGGGACCGGTCTTTATCGGCGACCCACTCGTGTCGACGGACGAGCAGGAACTCGTCTCTGCGTGCTTCGACTCGTCGACCGGCAAGTTCCGCACCGACCTTGTTCCGCACCGACCTTGTCCCGCCCCCCGCCCTCCTCCGCTCCGCTTGCCTGCGCCAACTCGTCGAGATTGTCGATGCCGATGCCGACACCAAGCTCGACGGGACGATCTCGCCTGCGCCCGTGATCGCGACGCGTCCGACCGGCACAAAGGAGTGGGTCGAATGGTTCATCAAGACGGCGGAAGGTGTCGAGATGCGACGGTCCGCGGGCGGGATCGACACGGGCAAGGGGCGTGGCAAGACGGTCGAGATGCGGCAGCGGACCAAGGCGCTGCAAACGTCCGAGGCCTTCGTGCGCGAGGAGAAGAAGCGCAGGGACAGGGGGACAACTTTGCCCTTAGTCGGCGAGTTGATGATCCACCAAGCGGTCGAGCGCATGAACGAGAAGTTCGAGAAGGGCGCCGCGCCCAAAAGTCGGACGTTACAAGTTGGAATTGTGCGAGAGCTGTCTCTGCACGTTCCTCCACTACAGCGCCATCAAGGACTTTTCCAAGCACCCGTGCATTGACGCCAAGCGCATCTCGCTCAGCCCCCTCTTTTCCGCCACGGCCCTCCTCCTCACCGACAGCAACCCGCCAAAGAAGACCACCACCACCGAGTACATCAAGGAGGCCGGCCTCCAGCTTGTCCGCGATGCAGTCGTGCGCGCGCTCCCAGCCGTCCTTGTCGAACAGGTCGAGTCGCTGTCGATCTACCTTGCCTCGTCGGCGAATGCCCGCCTCAAGCACGGCGCGGCCATCGACGGCGCGCTCGTCTCGCTCTTGTCGGACTTTGCTCTGTCGCAGCGCGAAGAGATGCTCACGGAGGCCGAGACGGGTGCGTGCGTGCCCTTTTTTCCTGTGCTTCCCTTCGCTGATCCAACTCTCGCATCTCTGAGCAGACAACCACGAGAACCCGGACGTAGCCGTGATTTTGAATTGCAGCGTCACGTTTCCTGCTCGTGAGCGCGAATTCTACCAGATT